AGTGTAACTCCTGTATCTACGTCATCATCTGTATTTTCCACTACATCTTCAACATGCAAACATTCTTCTTCTTCCTTATCTAAAATAAAAAAAAAAAAGAATGACACAATCATATGTACTTCTCAATTTCAAAAAGTTAGAAGAAACCTTTGTCCTGACTGATTTTTTTTATACATTTAAACAATGTTTCTGGTTTTGGATGTTCATCATTTCTTAACATAGATGGTTGTGCTAACAATGAATAATGTGTGAGTGAGTTATTCAATATTTTCAGATCAGCTGTCTGAGTTATAACATGACAATCATCAAAATTTACAATTCAATTCAATACAATTGATTCTTCACAGACTAAAAAAAAAACATTCAAAGCTCGTTATCCTTAACAACATGGGACTGAGTAAAATGTAGAGAGAACAGCATATTTGAGATACATGTACAAGGGATAAAATACTTAAAAATGGTTGGGACTTACAAATCACTTGAAAAAAAACTATTCCCACTTTGAAAATCTTGGAGCAGCACGTAATTCAAATAATAACATACACATTTTTCTCTTACCTTTGCAGTAGGAATGTACAAATAGTGAAAAGTCCAGACTTTTCTTCTCTTGCTCTTGCTCTCTCTGTACTGACACATGAAATTCCTGGAAATGATACAGCAAAAATCATTGTATTGTTAATGTTAAATTCAATCATTATAAACCATTTCATTTTTTTCCTTTAGGTACAATGTAAAATGGGTTTGGAATGTGCCACATTTATTTCTCCTTTTTTTTTTTTAGTTTTGTTTAAAGGCTTCATTTTTAATATTTCTAATATTACTATTTTGTCTCATTTGAGAAATTTAAAACCTTCTGTAAATTTCTCCTTGCTAATCTCCATTCTCTCTCTGGATTAATTGTCTTCATTTTGTAGGAAAAAATAGTTGGTGCATAATCCACATCTTCCGGCTCATCGCTGTGCCATCCAGTCACAAAATGTTCTGAGCATACACAGGTGTGTTCATTGGGCACAAAATCATCTCTGTTTATTGCCCTCATCCAAGCACGACGCTTTCGACTATCTTTGGGAAATCTATAACAAATACATGAATGTTGAAAGAAAAACATAAAGATCAGTGAAGAGCTACACTGGGAGTGCATCAGTTTCTCTACAGAGAAATAAATAAAAATAATGGGTTCAAATCAAGATATTGTTGTCATGCACACATTATTGGTATCATTTACATGTATAAACAAACATACATAAATATATATATGTGGAAAAAACAACAACAAAAATATATGCTTATATACATGTGTATTGTAATCATTGTTCACTTGTAAGGAAATTATATACTGTCTGACTGTACAGTTATTAAAATAGTTTGATGTTTTACATTAAATAACTGTTAACTAATGAAATGACATAATTGTCAAATTTTTTTGTGGCAAAAGGACAACGAAAAACATGTAAAACAACGTATACTTGAATTCATATCGGTTGTTAACATGGTTAATATGCAAGGAAATAGGGAGCCTACCACGATATTCAACCTGGATTTTAGAAAATTCAAGGGATATTTGAAAGACTTACCTGAAAAAATGTAGACCTTTCTGTTTTCCTTTCGTATCATCACGATTTGAACATTTGAAGACGCAGCAAGAGCGCACCATACTGAGACAAATGTTATGACTAAACCGAAAGTGCAAATGAGTTGCCCTGCGGAAGTGTTTGTACGCATGCGCGGAGAGCAGGCCCGCAGTTAACGTGAAGGGGCTTATAGCAGGCCATACTTTAAGCACATGACAAAAACATTTTCTCAAATTACACAGAAATGGGCTATTTAGCATAGCTGACTTTAAACATATAGGTGAGGGATAACATAATCACAATTATAAACAATGTGAAACAACTTTAAACGACCTACAAGGTAGATTACAAGCCTTTTTCACTGGGGTAAAATCTTGCGGAGATTCGACAATGGCGGCCTAATTTACATAAAAAATTACGGCGTACTTGGAGACATAATTTTTTTTTTTTTTAAAAAGTGACCTGGTGTTATAACTTGAGAGAAACACAATGTTTCTTTTTTTTTTATTGACTGTTTAAGTAGGCATCTTTTCGAAACAATTGGGTAGCCCTTAAAAGGGCTGTTTGTTGTTTTTTTTTCTGCTTTTGTGTGAGGCTCAGGTGGGTTCCCTTTACTGGGCCAATAACTGTTGGACCATCTCTCCCTCTTCTGGACTGTCACTGTCGTCCGGACGTCTAAACTCGGGTCTTCTGCCCACGAGCTGTATTATGGCATCACTGTTGCGGCACAGGGGGCACGGCTGGTTGTGATCAATTAATCTGGCCGCACATAACAAGCAGGCAGGGCGTTGCAAGCACCGACTGCATACAAAGTTGTTTTGCTCGTTGTCCCCGAGGCAGAGGGTACAGAGGATGCGGTCGGTGGGGACGGAAAACCCCCAGCGGGGAACCCGCCCCTGGTTCCTGGCCTGGGCCTGGGGTCCATCAGG